CCGGGATGCTGGTTAGGCTTGATCAAGGTCATCTGTGGAGCTGAGGAGCCGTGGCCCAGGCAGGCAGGTGCTTCTTTCGCCCCCGACTCTGCAAATAGAACGGTTGGTATTTCCCACAATCAAAACAGGGGGCAACGCCTTCCCACCCCCCCCTGTAGAAATACACCGTGTTTTCCTTCGAAATAAAGAGTTAAAAACACAGACCGTGACCATGACAGTAGTTGTTTCCGTTTGAAAACATTTCCTGAGAAAAAGTGAATGTTTTCTCCCCAAACCCAGTGTTTTGTCTATTAAGACATGTTTATCAAAACATTTTATTTCAGTGTAAAATGTTTTTAGAGTTCATTCTGTGTAAACATGATCATCTCGTACTAATCCGGGCGTGCTGAGCTCCCGTCTCTCCGTTCGTATCTGGTGTTTGTCAGTCTGTGTTTTGTGTCTTTTTTGCAGATGTTGACGAGTGTGTGAACAACACTGTCTGTGACAGTCACGGGTTCTGTGACAACACGGCCGGCTCCTTTCGCTGCCTCTGTTATCAGGGCTTTCAGGCCCCGCAGGATGGGCAAGGGTGTGTGGGTGAGTGTTTAGATTTTTCTTCCCCAACACATTTCGTATCTCCGCATGGAAAAGAAATCAAAGTTGTCCACCACAGGAGAGATTGCAAGCAAGGTAATTTGGACAGAATTTCATCGTGATGTGATTTTGTCACAGTTTTGGGATGTGCAGAAATGTCCTGTGGCTTCTGAACTGGTGAGGGACGTTAAGAAATGGCAAGTGTAACTTTGAATCTAAACGTAAAGTAAGGAGAACATCTGTTGAAACTCTTCGCAGAGCGTGCGGAGCTGCCCAGTCCCTCTGCACAGGAAATAGGGGCTGGTTGGGGCGGGGCTGTCTGTCTTCACGGGGCCCCTCCTTGGGCGGTGCCTTTAAGGAAAGGTGTTGGCAGGAGTCTCCGTTTCCAGGAACGACACCCGCAAAGTGATGCTTTGAGTTGTGCACCTGCATTTCTTCACTCCTCCGATGGACGGAGTGGAGGACTCTTGACTCATCCGGTGTCCCAGGCAGGATTCGGTCCAGCACGTGCTCGCATCGAAGAGGAGACTTTGCATTTCATTTTCTCACCAGCTGTGATTTGTTTAAATCAAATTCACCGTGAAACACATTTGCGGGTTAGAGCAATTAATGGGAAAGAGAAGAAAGTTATTAAATTCAGAATTCCACAGATAGCCAGGCTCTTTCTTTGTTCTTAATTAAGAAAAAGCTCTGTTCGTTCCGTGGCAGGTGGCACGCGCTCAAGGAGGGGCCATGACTTCTTCGTTTGGAAATTTGCAATTAAAGTATTAATTCATGTGCCATCCAGATCAAACTGGGAAAACAAAACCTAAGTATTTGGAAGTTTAAGGATAAAATCACTTGACTAGTCACCACTTTTAAGCTAACACTATCATAATCGCTACTTCCAGTTACTGCTTTCGTCTCCACTGCACTAAAATCCAAGCGATAAGTCATCTCTGTGACCTTCACTAAATATTCTGACCAAATAGGTCATGCGATCTGACCTTCTCAGCCCCACCACGTCTCTCCTCTCCTTTTAAGTTCCAGCGACATAACACTGCTTGTGTTTGCTTGTGTGACTGTGCTGTCACTTGGCTGTCGCTTGCTCCCTCTGTTGAGAATGTCCTTCCACCCCCCCTTCCCAGAGCCGGGACTCACCCCTCTCATTGCTGAAGCCGGAGGTTAGAGGTCGCCTCCCCCCACAGACCGTCCTGTTCCATCTCTCACTCTCCCACTGAGCTCTGACCTCAGAGCTGACGCCCTCTCTTTGGAGTCATTTAATCACGTGTGTGCAGCCTGCAGCCGCCTTCTCCAAGGCAACAAGCTCCGTGTGGTTGAGAACTTTCTGTCCCCCTGGCTGGGCCTAATGTTTGGCCTGCCGCAGGTGCTCAGTAAATATAGTTTTACTTATTGAGATATGAGATGTCGGACCTCAGACTCCACACAGCTCTCACACCCCTGGTCAGTGGCCACGTCTAAGCAGCCAGGTGAGCTCACTGAACCCATCGATGTTTCACTGTGGCACACGAATCGCTACCCTTAGTAAAGGAATCGTTTTATCATTTTAGTGAACTCGGCAGGTGTCCTTTTGTCTGTTCATTCACTCCTTCAAAGGTATTAACTGAGCACTTGTTATGTGCATTTCGCCACACTGGCGTTCCGTAGGATTTACGGGATGAGTCAGCCTTGACACCAACCTTTGGCCACGCTGTTTCCTCTGCTAGGACCCTGATCACCTCCCCCCACCTCCACCCTTTCTTATTACCACCTACTCATCCTTCAGGTAGAGCTCAGTCCCATCATTTCCCTAGCCCACCCCTGCACTTAGGGCCCACTGTCTTGTGCTTTCATAGCTCTCTGTGCTTTTTGTTCTTAGCACCCATCACAGCTTATGTGATTTATCTGATTAACTTCCCTGACTTGACTGTAAACTTCATGAAGGCAGGAGTTGGGCTGCCTGACTCATGATTTTTCCCCAGTGCCTGGCCCCTAAAACTAGAAAATGTTTTTTGATTGAGTGAATGCAGCCTGATGCGGGAGATTTCAGTAGCCCTGTCGCTAATACCAGTATGAAAGTAGAAAGTTCCATTTGACATTTACTTAAAATTGATAAATGTGAACTGGCAGCTTTCTGAGGTCAAGTTTTTCTGGTCTAAATTATGACTGTCTAGGTCGATTAAATAGACCAAGTCTTTACTTTATGTTACAATATCTTTTGAGAAGGGAAACTCAGCTCATTGGGTTTTTATCTGTTTCTATACAAAGTAAAATGGAAAACTGAGTAATTATTCAAATAAGTCAAGGTACATAAACTTTTTGTTCAATTAACTGAGTATAGCAGGTGAAATGTTTTCTGAGTGATTTGGGTAATTGCTCAGATTTTTAACTTTGTATAAACCGCCTCAGAATATGCTCAGGAAAGCTGAGGTGGTACATGGTGTCTGTGTAACATGCATGAGCATTTTGGGTGTCAGGTGCTCTGCCGAGCAGGGCCCTCAATAAAATCTCTTAGGAGGAGTAAAGGTAAGAGGTAGTCTTGGGCAAGGTTAGATGTAAAATTAGCCTTTCTTGAGGGCTGTGCACTTGCATGATGTTGACTAAAACATACGCATCAGTCGATGCCTCGACTATCTTTTAATTATGTTTATTTAAGTACAGAAGAAAAACACTTAGCAAAATAGAAATGACACTGTGGAATACCCGTAGAATTTTCAAAGGCGAGGTGAACTCAGTGAGAAGTTACTGAACCAGCTTGTTGTATGTGAATGATTAATGTGACCCAGTGCATATGTACAGGGCCTTTACACAGTCTGCCTGGTGGTGGTTAAATTATGGACATTTCCGCTGCTAGAAAACTATTTTCAGACATTTGATTTAAAACCATTTAAAAAAAAAAAAGAATCTAAAGAAGTGTATGGTTTCTGAAGTGCCAGTGATGGTAATTTTCCTCAGATGAAGAACTGAGGGTGAGAGTGTTGGGTCATGTAAGACCTCATTAGGTCAAAAAGTTAGGGAAGAGAAAACTGAAGAGTGAAAGGGTGCCTGGGTGCTTGTGATGCAGCTCTCGGGTGTTCCTCAAAGCGGAAATTGGGATTTGGGAGCTTGGCTTTGCATTTTCACGGTCCTTGCGTACAAACCGAATCGTACAGCCCCCCACCAGGAGCGCGGGGTCTGCCTGCCCGCTGGGGTCACTTCATTTTCAGCAAACACTACCGGCCGCGGCACAGTGGGTAAAACGAAGATTTAAAGCGAGGCACCCGTCTGACTCGGCCTGTGCTCCCTTTTGCAGATGTGAACGAATGTGAGCTGCTCAGTGGCGTGTGTGGCGAAGCCTTTTGTGAGAACGTGGAAGGCTCCTTCCTGTGCGTGTGCGCGGACGAAAACCAGGAGTACAGCCCCATGACCGGGCAGTGCCGCTCGCGGGCCTCCGGAGGTGAGTCCGCTGCCCCCGCCAGGGGCCGAGGGAGGGCTCCGCTCGGGGGTCTGTGCGTACCCAGGTTTGGCCAAACCCTCCGGGAGTGAGGTAAGAAGGAACCAGATGTCCTGGCACAGAACATTCTGTGCTCTTCCTGCACCTGCCTTATCAGTGGAATTAGGAGGTGAGTGAGGACTCTTTTGGGCTAGGTGGCCTCTCATGTGCTTTCCAACCCAGAGGTGCCATGAGTCGGTGCAGGATCCAAAGGAATGAGAACATTTACTGGGAATTGCTTAAAACTCTGAGAGCCATCGCTCAGGGTTTCACATGCGTCACTTCATTGAGTTGCATAATCCTATTTCTTGGCCCTTGGGGACGTGTATCTTGCCGCGTCTCTAAATTAGGAGCAACATATCAGCCTCTCAGGATCTACAAAGACTTCCACTTGGAATTCTTAAGGTGTTTTTTCCAGAACTTGGCCTAGAGAGTGGCTGTGTTTGCATTCGTTTAAAATTTGATTTAGGCTATGTCATCAATGGCACGAATTGAAACGGAGAAACGATGCTTTTCCAGATAAATTAATCAACTTCCAGATCACCCTTGTAGTTCAGGCCATGTCGCAATAGCTTGGTTGTGTTTTAAGAAAAACAAAAAGACCGAATTTCCTTAGAGAGCCAGATAAAATGACACACAGACCATTTTGCCTTCTCGTTCCATCTCAGTTGATTTCATCCATGGTTCCAGGAAAGCTGACACTATTCCACAAAGGGGTACACGTGTTCGGTGTGAAATAATTACCTTTGCAAGGTACAGGGGAGGAAAATATAAAAATGCATGTTTTCATCACACACATTTCACTTCTCAAGGACTAACTATAGAAAGGTGAGGAGTGCAGATCTCAGTGAACAGACGGACACGCAGACATGGCGAAGGGAGGGGCCGGAGCGTTTCTGGAGGGAGGCGACTGTAGCTCGAGAGCTGCAGAGAAAGCAGTCACTTCGCATCTGAGTCACACCTGTAACAGCCAAAACAAACACGCAGGAAATCCAAGCCCTGCGGCCAGAAACGGGATGGGTTAAGTAACTGTCCTTTTCTTGTTTATCTTAGGTTTTATAGAGTAACACCTCACCCATAGTATTATTTTGGCTGAAATAATTCACATGTCATGATGTTGAATAGTCATTAAATGAACTGCATGAGGATTAGGTAGACGTGACGAATGCACGTGATACAACGCGAAGTGAAAAAATAAGAGATTTCAGTGATCGCAGCCCACGGAGGGAGGGAAGGAGAGAATACATAAAGTGGTTATTGGAATTAATGAAAATTTTCGTTTTTCCTTTTATTTTCCAAGCTTATTGTAATACTTTAAATTGGAATGACCAGGGTCCTGGTCTGCTAACTACTTTCCAGCTGTGTGAGCTCAGACATATCATTCAACATCTGTGAGTTTTGGTTTTTTCACGTATAAATAGGAAAGCTATATTTACCTCGCAGCGTTTTATGAATTTTTTAAAAAAATCATTTACGTAAAATCCCTTTGTCAATGGCAAAGTACTATATAAAGTAATAAAATAGAAAGCTGTAACCCAAACACTTAAGGGATGTGCATGTCTTGTCTTCTGACGAGCTCTTCTGGAGTGGTGGACCATTTACTGCACATATTTTCATCCTCAGATGTTTTAGAAGTGGTTCGTTTGGTTCGTATAGCTTCAATTTGGGTATATGTCTGCGATCCTAAAGCCTGCCCTTTTTTTAGAGATTTAACAATGCTTTAATGGGACCGTGAGACCATCGGAACCGTTTTTGATGACCTGGACTAGCTCACTGACAACTGCTTCTTAAAACTTCACTTTTTTTTTTTTTTTTTTAAAAAAA